TGTGTTTGTAGGAACGGTTAATAGCTTCCCTTCGTGCTTTGTCTTCTATTATTTCCTCTCTTGACCAAGGTGCAACTGTCACTTGTTCTGTGGGTCCAGCTGGTTCTGCAGCTTGTTCTGGTCTGCAGGGTTCTTCTGGATGGGGGAGGTACATGTACATGTATGCCCCCTTTTTTGTCATCAGGATGATCGTTTTGCCCTCTTGGAGAACTGACTGTTTGGACCAAGGGAGGATTTTGAAGTTCATCATCACTCTTTGGAGCATGTTCTGGTCTGCAGGGTCCTTCTGGATGGGGAGATACATGTATGTCCCCTTCTTTGTCATCAGGATTATTGTTTTGCTCCCTTGGAGAACTGACTGTTTGGACCAAGGGAGGATTTTGAAGTTCATCATCACTCTTTGGAGCATGTTCTGGTCTGCAGGGTCCTTCTGGATGGGGAGATACATGTATGTCCCCTTCTTTGTCATCAGGATTATCGTTTTGCCCCCTTGGAGAACTGACTGTTTGGGCCAATGGAGGATTTTGAACTCCATCATCATCACTCTTTGGTACAGTTATCTCCTCTATGATTTTGTCTTTCTCCCTTTGACCCTCTTCAAATATTTCATCTGTAAAAGGATGTACAGCTGTTCTATCTGTTATCAAGTTAACAAGTTTTGCAAGCTGCTGTCTTTTTAGGGTTTCATCCCTTGTTTTGTTGTCAAATAAGACATACTGCCCCTTGCATTCCTCCAACAATTTTTTGAAGTTTTTAGGAGCATCATCAATGTATTTCTCTACATCACCCATGAATTTAGGATCTTGGTCAACATCATCTTTATGTGTGAGCACTATCACAACATATTCCATGAATTCTTCACCAAATAGCTTTCTCAGCATTTCTATTGCATCAACCTCTTCTTGTGTGAACCTTGCAAGTGTTACCACCAACAGGAGTGCATGGAGACCTTTTGAGAAGGTTGTTGCTATTTTACAGATTTCATTACAGATGTAATCGTGATTGCTATCTGTATCACAGATCCCAGGTGTGTCAACCACAGCTATTTTGCGATCACCTTTGTTCCTGATCTCATAAGTGCTCACTTTGGTTTGTGAAGATGCTGAGCAGGTCACTCCAAACTCATCACTCCCCACTATCATGTTTGCTGTGCTGCTCTTGCCAGACCCTGTCTTTCCGATCACTGCTACCCTTAACTCTTCACCTGGCTGAATCCGACATGTCGGATACAGATGTTCTTTGGTGTACCGTCCATGGTTTCTCTTGATATCTTGTGCAGCTATAATAAGTTTATGAATGGCATCTTGGTTGTCTTTGTACTTGTTGTCAAAGCCAAAAGTGCCCTGACTGTTTTGTTGGATTGACTGCAATGATTCAGGAAGCTCTTGACAAAACTCTTCAATTGAATTGTGCATGGTGCTGGTTACTGCAATCAAAAGATGCTTTTTCATTTCATCACCAAACATTCGATGTAGGGACTGAAATGCTTTATTTTCCAATTCAGCAATATCTTCAGACATCCTGTCAGACCAGACTAGCACAATAGCATCAATGCCCCCAGGGTTCTTATGCACTGCTTTCTCCAGTTGCTTAAATTCTGACTCAGTCATTTCTTTAGAAACTCCTGGTGTATCAGTCACTCCAATCTTTACCTCCAAGTCATCACACCATGGTGGTATGTAGGAAGTTATTTCCCTTTGACTTTTCTTTGTTCCACTCTTAGAAACAATCATCATATTCTCCCCTAAGATTGTGTTAGCTGTGCTGCTCTTCCCATTGCATTTGCATCCAATCAACAGGAGGTTTATATCTTCAACATTGGTGGTCTTCTTCTCATGCTTGATTTGTAGTCTTTGAGTTGGAAATCTTGTCATGGCTTGTAAGAGCTGTTCAGTTTTCTGGTTTAGTGCTTCCTTGTCTCTAGATTTGTTGTCAAAGGCTACTATTCTCTCTTCACACTTGTCGACCAAGTCTTTCATTTCAGCAGGAAGTTCTTCTAGAAACTGTGGTAACTCTTCTTGCTCCATGTGTGTCACAATGATCACAAGATGCTTGTAGAGATCATCACCAAACATCTTATGGAGTGAATGAAACACTTCATTTTCTTTATCTTCATTTTCGTCTGATTGATTGTTCCAAACTAGCACAACAGCATCAACACCCTCAGTCATCATGTTGGCCCCTTTCTTGACCTCATCCAGCTCAGATTTTTTTGGCATCTCTGAAAGTCCTGGAGTATCAACCACAGTTACTTTTATTTTCACACCATCCAGACCATCTAAAGTGTTGGTGCACTTCTCAGATTCCTGTGTTCCACCTTTGCGGGTAACTTTGAAAGCTTTTTGGTTGACCAAAGTATTGCCTGTTTCACTCTTTCCATTACGCTTGCACCCCACAAGAAGTATGTTCACTGTGCTGACTGATGGTACATCATTGGATGTTTGAGGCTCCTCTCTTGCTGTCACTTGCTTTACACTACCCGTGTCCACTGAACAGCTGCGGCACAATGTACTACTACATGTATTACTTTCTGTTAACGTATTCATATTTGGCAAACTTGCGGCATGGTCTATATGGTCATTATCTGCATGATCATGATGTACATGTACATGTATATGTTGTACATGATGTATGATTGTTGGGCTTTGTCCCTGTGTGTTGGAATCTGTATATGGGTCTGTTTGGGGCTTCAAAGTGTCTTTTGTTTGAGATGACTCCTCAAGATCATTTTTAATGGTTCCAAGTGGGCTCGAAGGAGTGATTGAGTGACTGAGTTTACTCAAAGAAGAACATGTTTCAGCCTCCTCCAGTTTCTTGACAAGATGAGGAAGTTTTGCATCTTTTAGAGCTTTTTTGAATGAGTCATAAGCAAGTTGTTCTAGTGTGCAAAGATAGTCCACAAGTTCTGTTGCACCTCTTCGGGGTGTCTGTTCTTTGATATCTTCATACTTCCTGTCTTCAATTACATTATCTTGGACCAGCTGATCCAATATGGAAAGAATTACTGGATGAATGCTGTCTATGATGTCTTTTCTACAGGACTTTAGAACATCTTTTGGTGGTCTTTTCTGTTGCTGTTTGGGTTGAGTCTCTTCTGATCCCAGTTCAGAGTCTGGTGGTTTGGGTTGAGTCTCTTCTGACTCCAGTTCAGAGTCTGGTGGTTTGGGTTGAGTCTCTTCTGACTCCAGTTCAGAGTCTGGTGGTTTGGGTTGCGTCTCTTCTGATCCCAGTTCGGAGTCTGGTGGTTTGGGTTGAGTCTCTTCTGACTCCAGTTCAGAGTCTGGTGGTTTCGGTTGAGTCTCTTCTGATCCCAGTTCAGAGTCTGGTGGTTTGGGTTGTGTCTCTTCTGATCCCAGTTCAGAGTCTGGTGGTTTGGGTTGAGTCTCTTCTGATCCCAGTTCAGAGTCTGGTGGTTTGGGATGAGTCTCTTCTGATCCCAGTTCACAGTCTGGTTGTTTGGGTTGCGTCTCTTCTGATCCCAGTTCATGATCAGAGTCTGGTGGCTTGGGTTGAGTTTCTTCTGATCCCAGTTCAGAGTCTGGTGGTTTGGGTTGAGTCTCTTCTGATCCCAGTTCAGAGTCTGGTGGTTTGGGTTGAGTCTCTTCTGATCCCAGTTCAGAGTCTGGTGGTTTGGGTTGCGTCTCTTCTGATCCCAGTTCAGAGTCTGGTGGCTTGGGTTGAGTCTCTTCTGACTCCAGTTCAGAGTCTGGTGGTTTCGGTTGAGTCTCTTCTGATCCCAGTTCAGAGTCTGGTGGTTTGGGTTGAGTCTCTTCTGTGTCCATTTCAGAGTCTGGTGGTTTGGGATGAGTCTCTTCTGATCCCAGTTCAGAGTCTGGTGGTTTGGGTTGAGTCTTTTCTGTGTCCATTTCAGAGTCTGGTGGTTTGGGTTGAGTCTCTTCTGATCCCAGTTCAGAGTCTGGTGGTTTGGGTTGTGTCTCTTCTGATCCCAGTTCAGAGTCTGGTGGCTCGGGTTGTGTCTCTTCTGATCCCATTTCAGAGTCTGGTGGTTTGGGTTGAGTCTCTTCTGATCCCATTTCAGAGTCTGGTGGTTTGGGTTGAGTCTCTTCTGACTCCATTTCAGACTCTGGTGGTTTGGGTTGAGTCTCTTCTGATCCCAGTTCTGATCCCAGTTCAGAGTCTGGTGGTTTGAGTTGTGTCTCTTCTGATCCCAGTTCAGAGTCTGGTGGTTTGGGTTGCATCTCTTCTGTGTCCATTTCAGAGTCTGGTGGTTTGGGTTGAGTCTCTTCTGATCCCAGTTCAGAGTCTGGTGGTTTGGGTTGAGTCTCTTCTGTGTCCAGTTCAGAGTCTGGTGGTTTGGATTGAGTCTCTTCTGTGTCCAGCTCAGAGTTTGGTGGTTTGGATTGAGTCTCTTCTGTGTCCAGCTCAGAGTCTGATGGTTTGGATTGAGTCTCTTCTGACTCCAGCTCAGAGTCTGGTGGTTTGGTTTGAGTCCCTTCTGTGTTCAGTTCAGAGTCTGATGGTTTGGGTTGTGTCTCCTCTGTGTCCAGCTCAGAGTCTGTTGGTTTGGATTGAGTCTCTTCTGACTCCATCTCAGAGTCTGGTGGTTTGGGTTGAGTCTCTTCTGTGTCCACCTCAGAGTCTGGTGGTTTGGATTGAGTCTCTTCTGTGTCCAGTTCAGAGTCTGGTGGTTTGGGTTGAGTCTCTTCTGTGTCCAGTTCAGAGTCTGGTGGCTCGGGTTGTGTCTCTTCTGACTCCATTTCAGAGTCTGGTGGTTTGGGTTGAGTCTCTTCTGACTCCATTTCAGACTCTGGTGGTTTGGGTTGAGTCTCTTCTGTGTCCAGTTCAGAGTCTGTTGGTTTGGATTGAGTCTCTTCTGTGTCCAGTTCAGAGTCTTGTGGTTTGGGTTGAGTCTCTTCTGTGTCCAGTTCAGAGTCTGGTGGTCTTGGTTGAGTCTCTTCTGACTCCAGCTCAGAGTCTGGTGGTTTGGGTTGAGTCTCTTCTGTGTCCAGTTCAGAGTCTGGTGGTTTGGGTTGAGTCTCTTCTGTGTCCAGTTCAGAGTCTGGTGGTTTGGGTTGAGTCTCTTCTGATCCCAGTTCAGAGTCTGGTGGTTTGGGTTGCGTCTCTTCTGACTCCAGTTCAGAGTCTGGTGGTTTGGGATGAGTCTCTTCGTCAAGATCATTTTTAATGGTTCCAAGTGGGCTCAAAGGAGTGATTGAGTGACTGAGTTTACTCAAAGAAGAACATGTTTCAGCCTCCTCCAGTTTCTTGACAAGATGAGGAAGTTTTACATCTTTTAGAGCTTTTTTGAATGAGTCATAAGCAAGTTGTTCTAGTGTACAAAGATAGTCCACAAGTTCTGTTGCACCTCTTCGGGGTGTCTGTTCTTTGATATCTTCATACTTCCTGTCTTCAATTACATTATCTTGGATCAGCTGATCCAATATTGAAAGAATTACTGGATGAATGCTGTCTATGATGTCTTTTCTGCAGGACTTTAGAACATCTTTTGGTGGTCTTTTCTGTTGCTGTTTCG